CGTTGTCATGTCATATTATAACACTGTTGCATTGGTTACATGATGCATAGCTTACTTGATTCATGTAGGCTATATGTCTATGTAGATATCAATAATACTAATCATCATTTCCAAATCTACCCCTTCGTAGATATGTTACCATCTGTATTTCCAATTTTGTAACAAATAGTTAACATATTCTTCGATATTTGTTTTTACATATGTTTGTTAATATACTTTTTTACATTTTTTACCCTTTGTTTTCAACTATGTTTTTTAGTGGTTTTTTTTGTTATAATTTGGTATAAATTGAATTTTGCTGTTATTTCCCTGTTGATCTGCTTTCTATATATAGGGTCTATGGCAATCCACAATGGTTTATCGGTTTTACATGTAATGTGAAGTGGGCAGAAATAACAGAGTACATGGATATGCATATCCAAAAAGATGTCCACAGTAGACCAGGTATCACTGCTATAGTCCTCAACATCAAAGTTGATGAGTTTGTTCGGTTTCTAAAACAGAACAAAACATTTGGTGAGGTTGAAGCATATATGTTTTGCATTTTGTCTTCGTTTGATATATATTTTAAATATAATGTTATTGTTACCATGAAATCATTAAGACGTGATGTGATTTCAGTATTCCAATGGTTACATGATTCATATTTTATTCGATTCATATCCAGCTATATGTCTTTGCAAACATCAATCATATTAATGATCATTTCCAAAGGTACCCCTTTGTACATATGTTACCGTTTGTCTTTCAATTTCACTAACGAATGGTTAACATACTTTTTAGTGTTTGCTTTAGGTGTGTTTTATAATATTTTTTTTGCTATGATTTCGTAGATATTGAATCCTCCTGTTATTTGACTGCAATAAAAGGTTTTAGTTCATGCTGGTACATGGTTTTGTCCTGATTCTTGAAGATTTTATTTTACACATACTTTACTTAATGCAGTAAACCAATTGATGCTTACAAACACTGCTCTTTATTCATACGTAACGATTGACAGTTAATTTTTTTCTTTAATTTTTTTCTTTATTTTTTTTCTCTTTTTTGTTTATTTTATTTTTTTTAGTTCTAAGTGTAACTTTTTTGCCATATTATAACAGCTATACATTACATTTCATATCTTCATACACATGTTATATTACATTCGAAATATCCTTCTTTATTCATACATAATAATTTTCAGTTTTTATTGGTTTTTTTTCCATTTTTTTTCACTCTGTTTCTGACTTTTTGTATCTGTTATTTTTATAACAGAATCTATTACATTCCATAATATATAATATTTCGTTCCCTTATTTGGCAAAAGTATATTTAATTGAATTTTCAATGTTTGTTAATATATTGGTATCTTTTATATGCTAATTTTGTATCTCCCTTTTATTTTTAGCATGAAATCATTAAGATGTCATGTTATAATGGTATGGGACTGTTCACAGTATCCATATTTTATTTGATTCATATAGCTTTCTATATGTACTAGCATTTGTGTTTGAATTTTGGTAACAGATTGTTAACATATTCACTACAGTTTGTTTTTAAGTGTGTTTTTTAATGTTTTTTTAGTTATAATTTGGTAGAGATAGAATCTTCCTGTTATTTGTCAGTCATGAAAGCTTTTACTTTATGCTCTCATATGCTTCTCTCCATACTATAACTGATCTACATTAGATTCCATATCTATCTGAAAGATGTCTACTTTTTAATATTTTTTATTATTATTATTTGTTCTTTTTATCTATATTCCATTAAATGTGATATGTTTTCAGTTTGATATATGTACAGATATTAACTTCAATGTATGCTTACACACTTATCTAGAAATAGAAAAATATTAAATGTTAATATTTTGAAAATTCTTCATAATTACATATTTGTACACTATTGAATTCCAAAAGAGAGGTCTTCCGCATTGTCATACTTTACTTTGGGTAAACAGTTCAGACAGAATAAAAGATCCAATTGATATTGACAGATATATTACAGCAGAGTTCCCGGATCCAATTAACGAGACAGAATTGTACGAGACGATAACAAGCTGCATGATCCATGGCCCGTGTGGACCGCTTAATGAAAAGGCTCCATGTACGAGAGATGGTAAATGTACTAAACATTTCCCTAGACCCTTTGTTGATAGCACATTCTTTGACAGAGAGGGATATGTACGGTACAAACGTAGCGCAAATGCACATCATACTACCCAATATGGACAGGTTGTAGACAATGGATATGTCGTCCCTTACAATAAAAGGCTTTGTTCCCGTTTCCGTGCACACATCAATGTTGAATACTGTGGCTGGAATATGATGATTAAGTACCTGTTTAAATATATTTCCAAATGAGCTGATCGCATAAGATACACTCTCCAAAAGGCAGAATCAACCAATCAGCCATCTGCAGCGCCACCCACTGCTACCCATAACAGATCCGAAAATGAAGATATATGTGCTATAAACGAGGTACAGAACTTTTTGGATGGGCGCTACATATGCCCACACGAAGCAGCATGGCGGATTTTAGACTTCCGTATACATCATCGTCATCCAGCTGTACAGATTCTAACTGTACATGAGGAAAACATGCAACAATTGCTGTTCAATGGAGAAAACACAATACCTGAAGTCCTATCAAATTCGAACAGCAGTATTACCACCCTACTTGCATGGTTTGAAAGTAATGCAAGAGATGCAAAAGGTCATGATTTGACATACCTAGATTATCCAAAATCTTACAAATGGGAAAAGTCATCTAAGTCATGGAGCCGAAGAATTTATGAGTCATCAAAAACAGTAGGTCGGCTTGTATTCGTACATCCTACATCTGGTGAATTATTTTATCTACGGATGCTACTCTGTCACCAAAAGGGATGTACATCATTTCAAGATTTGCGTAGCGTACGAGGTACCGTTTACCCACCCTTTCGGGCCGCTTGCAATGCACTTGGATTGATAGGGGATGATATTGAATGGCTTACCTGTTTCACAGAAGCTTCCATCTGGGCAACCGCATCACAGCTACGATCCCTTTTTTGCCACCTACTGCTTTTCTGTGAGGTCAGCAATCCACGTTTACTATGGGAAAGTGCATGTGATAAGATGAAAGATGACTATCTACATACCTTGAAACTCCAAATACCAGATAAGAATATTGCTTCAGCTGCTAACATAATTAAACAACAGTTGCTTCATGATTTAGATAACATCCTCCGTTCCGCTGTTCCATCCAAATCAATGGGAGACTTTGGCCTTCCTGTTCCTTCAGCTGATGTCATTGGTATTTTACGAAATCGGCTTCTACTGGAAGAATTGAGCTACGACAAGGAAGGGCTGCTAAAAGAGCACAATGAGCTGGTGCCAAAACTAAACAGTGACCAACGATCGGTCTATAACACAGTTGTCAGTTCCATAGAAAACAAAAAACAAATACTGATGTTTGTTTATGGACATGGGGGTACCGGCAAGATATTCCTATGGACAACCATTCTTTCCTATTTCAGATCCATAGGAAAGATTGTATTGGTTGTTGCTGCTTCTGGAATTGCATCACTTTTGTTACCTTCTGGAACAACTGCACATTCAAGATTCAAGATACCTATCAACTTAACAGACAAAAAATCATGCGATATTAAAAAACGCACCTTCCTTGGCGAACTTATGCAACGTACAACACTCATTAAATGGGATGAAGCACCAATGAGTGACAGAAGGTGCTTTGAATTTTTGGACCGCTCACTTAGAGATGTGCTAGATTGTGATCAGCAGCCGTTTGGAGGGATATCGATGCTTCTTGGTGGTGATTTCCACCAGACTCTTCCTGTTGTACCAAAAAGCACGCGTTCGGAAATCATTGCACTAACTTTACCAAGTTCATACCTATGGCCATATTTCATAGTTCGGATTTTACATACAAACATGATACTACAATCGTTTGACATAACAACCCAAAATTCAATGTCCACATCAGCCTTTGCAAGATGGTTGCTAGCTATTGGAGATGGAGTCATAGGTTTACCAGACAACGATGACCCACGTGATTCAAGTTGGGTACAAATTCCATCTTCACTCCTAATATCTGCCACTCCAAACTCTCTACAGACGTTGATAGATTTTGTTTATGGAGATGGTATACTTATCGACCCCACTGCTGCAGACCTTTCAGTAAGAGCAATAGTTTCTCCTACAAATGAGACAGCCGACGAAATAAACACCCACATTTTAAAAATCGTGAGAACAAGTGGTAGGACATACAATAGTACAGACATCATGGAACCAAATGGAAAGCACACATCAGATATGGAAGGCTTGTATCCAATTGAATACCTAAACCAACTAAACTTTCCAGGAATACCACCACATGAGCTTACAGTTAAAATACATTGTCCAATAATGTTGATAAGAAACATAAATCAGAGGGAAGGTTTATATAACGGTACCCGACTCATTGTCTCCCAATTGTTACCAAACGTTATCGAAGCAACCATCATAACCGGCACTTGCATTGGAAAACGTACATATATACCACGGATAAAATTCATACACAAATCATCAGATTTGCCATTCACGTTTTCACGAAAACAGTTTCCAGTGAAAGTTTGTTACTCGATGACTATCAACAAGAGTCAAGGACAGTCACTGCGTAGAATAGGAATCTATTTGTCACAGCCCGTCTTCGCACACGGACAACTTTATGTAGCACTATCCCGAGCAACATCACCAGATTCCATAAAAATACTAATAAAGACCAATGACACAGTGGAAGAGAATCAAACCAAAAATGTTGTGTTCAAAGATTTACTGCAGAAACTTACTTCAACAGAGGTCTATAGTATCACTACCTGTCATACCTTTCGTCAATCCTTTTCTAAAGACCATTACTACTTTTTGAAATCATTTTTGCTGTTCACTGCTTCCACATAATTTACATATCTATAGAACTTCTTATTCTTTTCCGAATATAACACTGATTTTCGCATATTTCTTTCCTTTAGAAAACGCAAACAACTCATGACGAGCATCTCTGACTTGAAGACTGATGGTATTGGAGGCCCGCTACAAGTTAGAATCCTACGGAAATGGAAACATGATGTCCGACAATACGAGACTTGGTATCTTGCTGTCGATAGATTTGTAAGTAGTCACCAAAAAAGATTACAACAAAATCAGGTTCTAAATTTTATAGTTTGATGTTCTTCAAATATTGAAAAGTATGTTGCTAACAAAAAATAAATTATTTACAGAAAGTACAAATAAAAGTTCTTACAACAAAATTACTGATAACAATTTTTTTATGTTTATAAAAACACCCAATTTGTTATTTTAAAAAAATCATCTCTTTAAGAAATGGTACATTCGTATATAATATGCCATAATCTGTAAATCATAAATATCCCTGTTTTGTAATAAAAATAGATCTAATGTCAACCTATTAACAGCATGACTGAGAAACTACATTCATCAAATCGTATAACAATCTCTTTTTACATGCAGATGCCATACAAATTCTTGGACAGCGAACAAATCAGAGCTACATTAAGTCTGTCCTCCATGTTTCACAGTGTTACACCATATCAGATTATAGCTGTCCTCAATTAGATAACTATCAAAAATTCCTTCAAAATGAGTTCTATATCGATGTTGGCCTCAAATCCATCATACAACCAATTCCAGATACATTAACAATACCCAAAACCTGGTTTCGGTTCGTATCAAAATCACATCTCATAGACCTTGGAGAAAGACCACCATATTATCCAGGTAATCATAATACCGACAAATCTGATTACATAGCTATTTCTTACACATTTACATTTACTACTAAACATATTACATTGGCGTCTTATCAAAGATCAGAGACTGTACCAAAGCAGGCGGGGAATCATTTGTGTTGCTCATACTAACCGATGAAAGGTATACATACTAAAAAGCATATGACAGTTATCGATTTTCTCATACCTATCTAACACCAAAAAAAATTCAATTTTATTAGTGGTAGTGAACTTGCAATCAATCTATGGAAAGAATGTATAACCAATCCAGACAAATTCAACCGCGACTCCTTACATCCTCCACCTGCGACAACGGTTGTTGCGGTCACGAACCTAAAACCATCCATATACAATGGTACTTTTTCTACACAGCCCTGTATATATCAGTCTTATCATTGTGATATGATGTTATGTCATGCATTCAATCTGCAAATCACTTTTCTATAGGAGTATTACGCTATGGTTCATCACATGCTACGCATATCTATGTGAATCCGGACATACCAGAAACAATAGCACTCATTAATCTGTGAGTCATAAATTACAAAAAAATCATATATTCCATATGGTAAACTTCCCATACTAATAAGAAGATGACATTAGATTTACAGGACCTTCAAGACCAGCACCACCACTATCAGGAACACCGTCAACCCTATATGACATGAAGACAAAAAACAGATCTGATCTTCTGGTAACATCATCTTAATAATATCTCTATTTACAAATAACATCCGCTTCAGACATCCATATCCAATTCTTTTATATCTACAGGATAAAACATTCATTGTACAGGCTTCAATCAAAGAATTTCACTATCAAAACAGCTGGTTCCAACCAATATGTCCAATATGCAAAGATCCCATCTTCAAAAGAGGTGAAAGCTGGTACTGCAGTGCACATGGACTAATCGAAAAGCCCACTTACATGTAAGCATCTTTTGAGTTAAATAAAGCATCATTCTTCTCTAACAAAAGTCTTTACAAATATTTTCCATTCATAGGTACAAATTAACAGTAACCATCACTGATGCTACGAACACGATATCAGCACTGATATCTGAGACATCATGTCAGAAACTGTTAAAGTCATCACTTGAGAACTTTATATCCAACAACCCACACATAAACAGAAACACCCTACCTCCTATCATCACTAACCACAAAAAACAAACAAAAAAGATGTCGATCCAAATGCTTAGAGCATCAACTCCCGACAATATACGCTTCATAATAATAGATATTGAAGACCCAACAACCAGGGCTCAAACATATGTGCCAGCAACACCAGCTCAACCACAAATGACAAGAATGCAACCAAGTGACACAACACCAGAGCCATCAACACCTGTTCAACATGTTGCACGTGCTCTCACCTACGATCCCACAGGTAAACACACACTAACAAAATCAAATTCAAAAACAAAAATCCAAAAAAAATACTAACAATTTTCAATTCATGTCTAACAGAATCTACACCAAGAAAAAATGCAAAGCGGACAGCCAAACAGTAGACATCATAGACAAGCACCGCAAAATGCATCTTTTGTTTGGACCAATATCACTATCTTTTGTAATATAAATATATCATCATGATCCTTTTGTTTGAACCATTGTCACTATCTTTTCTAATATAAACATATCATGATGACCCCCTATGACTGTAAACAATAACAAATAACTTCTCTTTGTATCAATCCTCTTCTTCTAAATTTCATAGATGTTTCCACAAGAAAAACACTGATAATATGCAGATCCATCCATCATTCTTTAAATGTATAAAACCCTGTCGAACATACATATGCAATGAATAATAAAACTAAACAAATATAATCTATATAACAGTTTCTTTCCTTCTATGAATTAACGCACCACCTACGTAATAACATGTACGGTAGCCATTACCCAAAACATGAATACACACATACCGATTTAAATAAATAATCCATTAAAATTATCCATTAATTAATAATATCTTACGGTAACAACCATTATCATTACGCAATTAAATGTTGATACATATATTCCACCAAACACATTGCATAAGAAAAAGAATATTTATGATCAATACTTATAAACTTACATAAATTACCACTTCAATTATACTAGATTCACTTGATCACATCCAACCACCAAACAGTAGTCATCAAATTAATTACCAAATCCAAGGTCAACGATTCTATCTACCAAATCAGCCAAGCAAACCTCATAGCCACCCTATCTACCACTTCTCAGCAGAAGAATTAAATTAGCAAAATTAATACCATTCAACAACCACAATAATCACTTGTAAAACCAGACTAGAAACCAACTAATTCGTCTACAAAAACGCAAACAAACATCATGAATACCGTCTTGCAGAAACTCACTGATCAGCTCGAAACGATGAAGCTGTCCTTGGCAGATGTCCAAACAACGTACACCACCATCAACAGTTCCAGACAGAATCTGCTGCATGATGCTCCAACAAAACTGCCAGATGTCCAAACGACGTACACCACCATCAACAGTTCCAGACAGAATCTGTTGCATGATGCTCCAACAGAACTGCCATACATGTTCAAACGCAGTCAAATAAATATTATTTATTTCAGAAGCGATAAAAATAACACAGATGCTAAAAATGAAACCTTCTGGCCCCCGCGTAGCGGGGGATAACCATCTAGTTAGCTATTAATGAAAATGTTAATTGAATTCTAAATTATTAGTTAACATGATTTCGTTTCATGCAAATATAAAAACAAGTAGACGTGTATTTTTATTTTGGGCCCAAAAAGACACTTGTTGGATCAAACCCTGGTTAAAGTAGATCCAAAAATCTTTTCATCGGCTTATTCTATTGTTTTTATAGACTTAAACCATCACTGATATAAATGTAATAAAAATGTGATAAATAGTACTCGATCTTTAAACCTATTTTATTTTTTATCTTATTTTTTACACCAAAAAAATATATTTCTAATACATTCCATTTGTATAATTTATATATATTCTCAAATACACTCTTTACTAATTAGATTTTAACAAATATATTTTATATTTTTTTATTATAATAATATTATAAATTATATTATCATAAAATTATAACAAAATAAATGTTACACAAAATAAATTTGAATTAGTTATTAATTTATTATAAATAATTATTAAATTAATAAGATTATATTTATAACAAATATATATTTCATATCTTTTTTATATGTTTTATATATCGAGCAAGAAATTGTTAGAATTAACTTAATAAAAAATAGGATATTACAAATACTAAATGTTATATTTAAATTATAATTAATAGTAGGGCTGGCAAATATGTACCATAGAGAACCAACCAACATGTTAACAACCGAACCAATTAAATCGGTAGCCAAGTTGTTTGGTAGCCAATATGTTTGGTTACTAATACCATGCCAATTAAGTAGTCTTGGTACGGTAACAGTATGAAATTTTGAATACCACGGTTGTACCGTACCAACCAATATATATATATATATATATATATATATATATATATATATATATATATATATATATCAATTCATAAATACAAAGAAATATGAGTTCTCATATCTTCATGTTTTAATTAGAATAACAACTAATAAGTCTTAGAATTACTAAATTAATACATTGACCGACAAATTTCTTGATACTTATTGTTTGTTGTGCACGAGATCGGTGATACATAAACTAAAACTTAAAAAGGAATACTAACTTCTATTTCCTTGTACTTGTACTATTACCATTTGTTTCTTATAACAACTTGCTAGGGGTGGACCTCTTTTAATCCTTTTAGTGGTTTCCAAATAAAAAGAATACTACCAGAAGCGAGTGAAGCAACGGCAAAATGTCCACAAATTCAACTTATATTCATGTATAGTACATATTAGATAAAAAATTTGGTATATACCAAATACCAATATATACCAACCAAATTTGTTGGTAGCCAAATTAATTGGTACCAAGTACACTTGGTACGGTACTGGTAGCTAAAATCTTATACCAACTATAGTTGGTACGGTACATGGTTTGGAGAAAATAATTTCGGTACCGTACCAATTCCACCCCTAATTAATAGATAAAAATAAACTGAAAATGTATAAAATAAAAAAGAAAGAGACTAAAATCAGCAACTAAAACTTCAACTTCATTTTTTGAGATATGAGTAGTATTCTAAGTATGGGGAATATTATTCATATCTCCAAAAATGGAGATAGAAATGAGATAGAGTTGGAGAATAATAGGAGAAAAAATAGAGTTTGGGAGTGGGTTGAAGATGCTCTTAGTCTCTTATTTTTTATTACGGAAATTTGTAAAAAGAGTCTTTATATTTTTGTTTTTTTATCAAAAAAGTCACCATTGGTTTTTTTTTTTTTTTTACAATTTAACCACCGGAACAGACTATACTTGCAATTTGACTCAATTTGCAGGTTACAACAAACAAGTTTCGATGGTTAAATTGTAAACAAATTATCAATGGTGACTTTTTTTGTCAATAAACCACAATATAAGTAATTTTTTTCAATGCATAATAATTTTTAATCTCAAATCTTATATATTTTAATATTAAATTATAATCTATTTTTACTGAAACAACCATTAAAATTTGTTTGATTTTTTTTTGGAACGGTGGAATATTTATTAAACTAGCAAGTAGCTAGAAAAGAAGCATTAAATCAAAATTGTAGCAGACATAAGATTATGAAGCCAAGAATTCTAATTGATCTTAGCTTTCCTACATCTATTAGAGATCCAAAAAAATGCCCTATGAACTACAACATCAAAAAAACAAAGATTTTTTTGGGTTAGTGATGTGTAATATAAGTACTAGTTTTAAAACTAACTAATCTAGACTAATCAACACAAATAGGCAATGCACCTAATCGATTAATAGGATAGTTCAGGTAAGTCGAGTATCGAACACATGGAACAAAAATAATAGCTAAAATTATCTAAGTAAATTAAGCAATTAAATGGGGGGGGGGTATAGTTTTGCAAGTCTAGAAACTTAAAAGCAATTAACAATGAAGTACTTTAAACTAAAGAAGAAACAAGAAAACAATTTTTAATTCAAGATATTAAAGAGGCTTTCATTTAGATGCGATTCACTTGCTACTATGGTTGATTTCGTGAAAGTGCAATGGATTATAGTGTGGTTGTTTACCGATTTCTAGATTGATTAGAATTATGATCAAAAGACCAATCCTTTAGCTTAAAAAATTCATTCATTCAGTGATCAAGAGAACAAATTAATAAGAAAACTATTGTGAAGTTCAAATTATGGAAGACTTATCATTTTGATTGATATAAATGGTTTAAAAGCATCAATACAATATATGATTGTTCTTCATATATTAACTTTCATATCAATTTACCAACTTTTCTATTTAACCCTAGGTTTTTGGTCAAAACACTAGTCCTATAACCTTGTTACTTACAAAATCATAAGATTCAAGCCAACTAAGAAAGATAGTTCTGATAGGTTTTATAGGTTACAAATATTATATGTGGCGGAAAAACTTAACCCTAAGTTCACATGCAACCTATTGGATCTAAGTTTTCTCTTTTGATTACAACAAACAATTAAACATCAAGAACCCTAGGAGTACTCTGTTATTTTCAAATTTCATTAAGGGTTTTAGGGTTTACATACCTTTTGATTATTGTAGTAAATAATCAAACAATATCTTGTTGAACAAGCTTCATAAAGCAAGCACCAAAAATCCTATGCCTCTAATGGTTTGTACCCAAAGCCTTGAAATAGAAGACTTGAGAGGAGAGAGGAGGGAGGAAGGAAATTTTTGACTCTAAGGCTCTTAGAGAAGTGTTTGCCGAAAATTCTAATACCATTAGGGTATTTATAGGTGATTAAGGTATCTAAGGCAACCCTAATTTGAATATTAAATTAATATCTCAAATAAGGCAGTTTTCTTTTACCATTTCCTTACTCCCCAATGCATTCTAGAAGCCTTAAAGAGCTCCACCAAAACTATCCCTTCTAGGGAGGTTCTGGAAGCTTTCATTTGCTAAACTTTTGAACATTATCACCTTCAGTCTTTATTTTTTTAATTAATCCAATTAATCTCAAAATTAATTGTAATTAGTTATTAATTAAATAATATTATTTCTAATTAATATATTAAACTCATAATATATTATTTCTATTTATGAATCTTATAATAAACCAATAAATTAACCTTTCTCTCCAAAAACTCATTCTGTCACTTACTAGTTTTGAGGGCAACCCACTTTGCTTTTAATTCAAGTACATACCAATTTAGTTATTAGCTTAGACACCTAATCCAACAGTCTCCCACTTGGATAAGTCTATAACTACAATTACAAGTATAACTTCTAAATCAAACAACAAAGGTGTTTTCCAAAGCAACTCCAGACTCTGATTTGATCAGACATCGGTCCTAACTCCTAAGATAAGTGATCAAATATTCATTCGTTCAACAAGATATCATATGGACATGAGACATGAATTACAATCAATCTTTTGTCCAAAAATTTGTTTCACAATTTCCCGATTTGTGATGACCTCATAAGACTTACTAATTTAATATATCAATTTAGTCCTGGCTGGGCCCAACACTATAACGTCAACACCAAATCATAGCGGGGCCCAAAGATATCGTTTTTCCATTAGGGAAAAAGGAACGAAATTTTTTTGACTCATATGCTTGTATCTTTTACTCACCAAATCATGCATGACACTACGTTTTATAACATCATGTTACTGATACGTTTACGTAGCACTAATGCACAAACGACTTGTAAATTATAACTCATATTTCTTCATTTCAAGAGTTTAAGATGTTATCGTCTCAAAATTACCCGTGATGTAATCCATGAAGTAATTCTTTGAGTGTGAGTTTATTCAATACTTAAAATCTCCATTTTTCTAAGTATTCATGAATATTGTAGCAACTATTGCAATGTCTAATCTCCATAGACAGTCTACAGTCTTTTCACGATACTATTACTTCACTACTTACTTCCAAAAGTATGAACGAATGTGAAGTTTTGAATAATCAAATTATTCAGGAAGTAAAACATGCAAAACAAAACACAAGAATAAATAATTGAAAAAGGTAATAACCATACTCATAAATAATCTATGTTACTTAATCACCAAAGTCAATTGCATTTATTTTGTTACGAGTTTCAAAATATCAACTAACTACTAAAACTTATATCATCTCTCAATACTATGCTCCTAGCATGTTGGTTATGCTTAACCCTACTCAGATCCTTCGTGAAAGGATCTGCAGGATTATCTTATGAGGATACTCTCTTCACTATAAGATGACATTCTTCAACCCTCTGTCTGATGTAATGGTACCTTTATGTCGATATGCTTGGATCTACCATGATCCTTGGGCTCTTTGTTCAAAGTAACCGCGCCTTCATTATCACAGTAAAGTTCCAATGGCTCCTGAATGGTCAGTGCTACTCCAAGATCTCGGATAAAGTTCTTTAACCAAGTTGTCTCCTTTGATGCCTCACTTGCTGCAAGTACTCTGATTCAAATATAGAATCAGCCACTGTATCCTGCTTAGAATGCTTCCAAGTCACTGCTCCACAATTCAACACAAACATCCAGCCTGACTGAGAACAAAAGTTGTCTCGATCCGTCTGAAAATTGCCATCACTATATC